AATATATTTATTTATTTAAAGTAACTAATGTTTTAATCATATACTCTACGACACTGGTCACTCATTTCCACTCAAAATACCTACATAATCGGATTAAAAGTTTTATAGCTGTATTGTATTTCTTCAGATACAAGGTGGGTTAGTCGAAAACATCTTAAACTGCCAGTTTTAGTTTGGTTTTTGTTATTATATCATATTAGCTGTCCTCTCTGTATTTCAGTTCTCTAATGAGGGTCAAACTTGTAGTGAGCTATCAACAAATTATGAACAGACTATAGTTAATCCTCAGCTTGCACAAGATTCATTTACTGATGTTTTGGTGCTTGAAAACCTGTCATCATGGTTCGACTAGTAAATATATTGAAATTCAAATTATAGAGCCTTGATAGTTTCATTCTAATTTCGTAATTCAGAACTTTTGGCACAGAAAAAAGTGCTATTTAGTACTCACTCCAGCATAAAATATTGGTGATAGCAATTGGTGGCTCTTCATTCTACAACCTTTACCAAGTCCTCCTTGGTTGACAGTGTTTTTGAATGTCACTTGGTCAGATTTCCGTTCAATTTCTTTTTGATCTAGTTAATGTATCCCTATGGATAATCTCAGATCCGGATCCCTTGAGGTTATGTAGGCGAATCCAGACTTCAGTATTCCGGACTTGCTGAATGCTCTACTATCCAAACCTTCAACAGCCTCTCCATTTCACATGGTATCTGGTACTTTCTGTTTTTGACGTCTTTATTAGATTTAGATGGTGTAATTTTTGTGAGACCGAATCTGAAGAAGTTTCTATTGTTATACTTAGATCCAATTCTTCCAATCCTTCGCTACTCAATAACTAACATGTTTGTAGGTTCACTATAACGAGGGGTACAGATAGAGCAGGTGAACTGCTCGCTGCTTTCGAGCTTTTAGAAATTCCAAACGCCACAGAGGAACCTCTACCCGCTCTCCCTCATCCTAAAGACATACCCATGTACCATGAAACGGACCCGAAACTTGTGAGCACGCTCCTACCAGTACCAAGAGGTATAAGACCTACTCTGGCTAGGTATCGAATAGAAGTACTATTTTGGGGATTGAGGGATCTGAAGAGGATTCACCTCCTTACAGTCGATAAACCCAGAGTCGACATAGAATGTTCTGGGAATATTCTGTACTCGAGCATCATACAGAATAGCAAGAAGAATCCGAACTTTAGCACTCCAGTGAAGTTTATAGAGTTGGACTTGCCAGAGCAGGAGCTGTACAGGTAAAAGCTTTTGGGTATTGTGAGAAACAAAAAAAACGTGTTTCTTTCTCAAGCTCATATTCATCGAGTTTATCTTTTTTATAGACCTCCTCTGACGATAAGGGCCGTAGATTGCAGAAGTTTTGGGAGATACACTTTAGTAGGTACTCACATGATCAATTCGATTCATAAATATACCTACACTCCGACCACAAAGAAAGATCGAGAAGCTGAGGAGCGAAAGAAATCTTTTAATCAACTCAGAGTTGTGGACTGCAATGTTGGTAATAATCAGATATCACCAACCAGGCTATCTTTGGCGAACAGTGATAGAGAGAGGAGTCCTTTGCTGCCTAAGGATATAACTATACAGACAGGTTGGTGAAACTGAGTTTACAGATAATGTTTTTAACAAATTGAAATACATAATGAGCATATAAAACAAAAACAATATAGGAATAAAAAGTATACATCAACTGGGTGAATAGTTCCTATCAAAGTTCATAATGAGCAGATATTCAGTACCTCAAAATACCATAGAGAATGTTAACAAATTCATTATTGAAACATTTTAATTCTTGAAACTACAATTGTAAAGTGTAAATTCAATCTGGAACTTCATGTACTGGATAAAATTATTTATTTCCTCAAAAATTAGTTCAAAGTGGATTTTCAAAATCGATGATGAGCCACGAGACAATTTGAAACAATATTCAAGTAGTTTTAATGTGGTGACAATAAATACAAATTTTGGGCAAACAAAACTGTTTTAATTAATATTTAATGAAACGAATTCAATTTTTGATGAAAACAGTTTTTTAATTGTGATATTGCCATTCTCTCATTTTTTGTTGTAGGATACGGTACACACGATGTTAAGAAAATGAAAACTGAAATCAACAAAAAACGGAAACAAAGTTTTGAGGAGGATATAGAAGACGAAGAAGAGAGTAAAGACTGGTGAGTTCAGACAGAAAAATACTGAATGAATTATCTCTAGAATGATCGGAAAGAAATGATGACTTGACAGGAACTGTCATTCTCAAAACGAGAGTTTGCTGTAGAAGTAACAATAAAGTGAGCGATTAGGCAAATCCACTTCGCTGGAGGCGATAAATCGTCGACGACTTGTCGAAACTATTGCTCAAATATCAGGTTGTTTCAAACGTATTTTGTTAGAAACGTTTTTCAAACGTTTCTATATATTTACAGTTATTCAATAACTATTACAAAAAGTAGTTAATCATCAGTCGATTTCAACTACCAAACAGTAGAACAGTAGTTCCAAAGCAAAAACGAGAGATCTACTGCAAAATAAGTAGACATAGTAACGCTAAACATGGCACTCCTTCCGATTTTTTATTCATCTGCAATGGATTGATTCGCGATATTCCGCAGTCTGCATTATGGATTCTTTGTGAAATATTCGAGTTCTCTAATTTCAACTAAAATGCACTGTTCATGTATTTTGATTTGATTATTACCATGAAATTCTACTTATGAACAAAAGGTGGAGAGTATAGTTTATTTTTTCTTTTCGTGTATGTATTTATTGATTTCTCAAGGGGACTATGGGATAATTGGCTGCAGAGTCAAACGGTTCTCTTTTATATTTTGCATTATTTTATATGTATATTGGTATATAATAAATGTATTATTATTATCATTATGATGTTGCCCTACTTGGATTTTTTTCGCAAATACTTTACTGAACTCCCTCATTCCAAATGATGAAAATGTTACTTAAATGATCAGTATTTTTTGGATAATCAATGACTCATAATCATAAAATTTTTCTAAAAACTGTTTTTTGTTCTTGTTATTCAGGTGGACCAAATATTTTGCATCAATAGAACGGATGATCGACGAATCTAAAGAAGCCAAGAAGGTTTTCAACCAGAACGGAAATCTACAGGTCTACGACGACGATAACAATCCACATTCCGGAAACAGTTCGGACAAAAGCCCAGGAATGGAACAAAGAAAAAAATTCGGGTTCAAAACCGCAGCTACTGCATCGAGATTCACGACAAGAATTAGTCCGAAAGCAACGAGAAAAAAGAACAAACCGAAACCGGTGCTTTGCAAGGTGGAGTATTAGGAATTTACGATAAAAATATTATTTGATTTCTTGATGTTTTTGTGACTCAATTTCAGTTGTCAAGGATGTACTGGTGGATCAATAATAAATGAAGACCTCAGCTTTGATGAGCCGAAGTCTTCTCTGTTGTTGAAAAATACCCCATGCATTGGCTTATCTTTATGTTAGATTAGATTGTCGGGGAGCTGACCTATGGCCTGATTCACTGCGACTTTTTCAGATCTATTGTGATGCTCCTTGGTTGTTAGAGCTCATTGTCTACCTTGATCTCTTTGATGAGACTCCATAGTCTCATCATCCAGTTAAGGGGATCGGAACTCCTAACAAATTTACAACCCCCATCCAGTACCATTCTGTTATTTAGATTCTCAAAACTCGTAAGTCCATGGCCTCCCTGTTGGGGGAAGTACAACCGTGGAACGGGCCATTTCGGATGCATCATTTTTCGGATCTTTACGGCGAGTTGATACAGCTCCTCTCGGGTCTTTGTCACTACTCCAAACAAGTAGAGTGAGACTGAAACGGCAAGAATATTCATAGAAGCGACTTTGTTCTTCTCCAACAGTTCGATGACCAGATCTGTCGAAATTTGTGCTGATACTTGCCGCAGAAAGAGTTCTCCACTACGGTTACCAATCCATCAGTAGTTTGTTCAGTGGAGCTCCCTTTGCTCAGGAATTATCGATTCTGAGGACTCATGATACGATGCGTTGTCAATTTCCAAGAACTAAAACTTTATCGTTTTCGTAAGAATATTCCGCTAGGTTTCGAAATCATCACCGGATCATTTTCAGTGAAGGTGATCTCCATGTTATGGATTTGCATGAAAAAAAAATCTAACGTACTCTAAAAATCACACACAGTTTTTTAAGTAAAATGTTCCGATCCCTTTTCCAACATAACCAAATGAATGCTGGATATATGATTGAAATTCAACCTATTTCAAATCTACCGCGCCATCTAGCGCGTGAATAGTGACAGTGGAAATAATCAGATATTTTCAGATTCTTCCTACGGAATTAGAAGCTAGACCAGAGTTTGATGAATTCAAAGAATGGCTGCATACGTTTGAATTATATAGAGGTAAAAAGACTGGTGAAGATTCTGAAGATGAAAACAGAGTGGTTGGATATTTCAAGGTAATACTGAACGATTTAAATAAATGTTTTTATTGCACATTTTCATTACAGGGTGCTATTAAAGTTTATAAATGGCCTTTGCCAAAAGATATTGAAGATACAACTATTATGGGTTTCGACCCACAATTCGGGTTTTTCCAAGGACTGCCTTCAAACGATCCAATCAGGGTCTTAGTGAGAGTATACATTGTTAAAGCTAACGAACTTCACCCGATGGATTTGAATGGTAAAGCTGATCCCTACGTCGTTTTACAGTTGGGGTCGAAGAGGATCAGCGACAAAGAAAACTATATTTCGAAACAACTTAATCCCATTTTTGGCAAGTAAGTGAAAAATTCAATCTTTTCTATGGTATTATCGCAACAACTGAAATCTATTCCGTGCAGGAGATATTATAGCAATGGGATAATTCAAAATAACTCCAGACCAAGTTACTTCCTCCTCATAGTAAGTAATTCAACTCGTCATTCAGAACCAAACACCATATGCGTAGCTGAAGCGAAAGTTCACATATCTACCCAAAATTTGCCAAAATGTTTCTCATAAAGAACTGTAATAAGGAAATTCTAAAATGTTTTATCTAAAATAAAGAAGCAGCATGATTCAAAATAAAGCTGCAGATAACAAAAACAACTTTAAGTAACTCAGTAGCCGTCTATAGTTGACTTTTACACCGTCATCTTTCTTTTTCATTTGAAGAATTCCTCTTCGATGATTCTATAACCACCTTTGGTTCTTTGATCCACCAAGAATACTTGGTATATTTTCGTTGTCTTTCAATGTAAAACCTCGAAGTAGGAATGGGTCAATTGAGGCTGGGCCTATGGCGAGAAGCGATTACTGCGCAACCTCTGCTGCAGGCAACAAGTGATACAATTGAACCCAGGTTTGTGTTTAATAAACCCTACAAAATACAAATAAAGCAGAACATAAAGTGAGATGATACAAACGCAATACGGATTTACACAGACGGCTCAAAAACCAAAGAAGGCTCAGGATGTGGAGTGTTCTCCAGATCACTAAGGATTAAGTGGAGGATAGGAAAAGATACCAGCGTGGTCCAAACATAACTGGCTGGTATCTCAATCGCCACAAAAGAAATAACCAGAAAAGGAATTTCTGGCAAATACATAACAAGCTGCACTGACAGCAGACAAGCCCTATTAGCCTTGAACGGACAACGTTTAATCTCTGGGCTAGTACTAGAGTGTCACCAAGATTTAGCCAAAGCCTCGGTAGATAATAACATCTTGGGTGACCCTGGGAAGCTGGCACCGAAGAAATATCTGGCGATGACCAGGAGATACCTCCATAATATGGGGCTAGTGAACACACCCCTATGCAGGATGTGTAAACAGAAAGATGAGACTGTCAGACATGTCCTGTGCGAGTGCCCGGAGTTATCGTCAATAAGAGAGTGTGTGTTCTGCGAGTCTTGGCCTACACCTGCTGATATAAAGAAGGTGTCTCCCAGGGACCTGTCCACTTTTCTGGAAAGGACAGGATGGACGATGACCTAGGAGGATAACTCCTCGAAAGGATGTACAATGGGTCACATGTGGCAAAAGTGCTGTGGGTTTACAATCACCCTCCCTGCTCTACAGATACAGATAACATCGCATAGATCAAGAAAATGTTACCCAAGGGTCCTTCATGAGAGAATCATTTGAGGAATTCGAATTCTTCAGTGTCTATCCTTACTGCCTGTCTCAATGACTATGCGTCAACTTATGACTTATGATCAGTTTTGTGGAAACGACAAATATGAAAATATTTTGATATTAACCTTCATTTCTACCAAGTCTGGTAGATATGGTTTGTACAGTGTGACCCATTTTTAATGGAAACACCCCCCTAAAATTTGAAGTTGTGAACCGATTTCAATAATTTTTTTTTTGAAATGTCAAGTACTAAAAGGTCTACCTTGGGACAAAATTTGAAATGTTTATCAAAGTTTCAGGGCCATACTATGATATTTTTTCTTAGTCGAAAATCGGGATTTTTTATTAGCGATTTTTTATTGAAAAAATCACTACGCCACTGGATTCAGAGTGCCTCTAAACAGGTGTGACCAACGCTACGACATATGTATCGAAATACGTGGTGGATTAGTAGAGGCATTGAATCGAAACATTTCAATAATTAGTTATTAGTTACGTTTATTAAAATTGTTTGCTTTATTGTTAGTTGAATTGTGTGAATGTAATTCCGTTATTTTCCTTAAAAATATTTACGCTGTTTTTTTTTTATCATCTGGCGGTAATTTATTGTTGAAATCATAAAAAAAATAATATATTGTGACTGTTAGCTGTGTGAGTTTTCGAATTTTTGAGTTGTCATAACTTTGTTAATAATGAATATTTTTGCATGAAATTTTGGTCACACCTGTTTAAAGGCACTCTGAATCCAGTGACGTAGTGATTTTTTCAATAAAAAAATCGCTAATAAAAAATCCCGATTTTCGACAAAAAATATAGTAGTATGCCCTGAAACTTTAATAAACATTTCAAATTTTGTCCCAAGGTAGACCTTTTAGTACTTGACATTTAAAAAAAATTATTGAAATCGATTTACAACTTCAAATTTTAGGGGGGCGTTTCCATTAAAAATGGGTTACACTGTATATTTCACATTATTCTCGCTCACCTGAACATTCTGAAAACTTCATCGTACATTTTCTACAGATTCTATGTGTTATTTTGTTTTTCTTTGCTTGTTCTTGTAAACCAAATGTCTTGAATAGAACCGGCAGATACTTGATGAAAATCCATATTGAGGCCCATTTATACAGTTTATTGTGTGATTTTCATTGAAGGGTTTTACAAAAACCACGACACGTGTTTCGCTTATTAACGCTTGAGAAAGGTATTGTATAGCGAAACACGTGTCGCGGTTTTTGTAAAACCCTATAAAGAAAATCATATAATAAACTGTATTAATGAGTTTAACCAAATGTGTGATTGATTACTGGGAGAGTAACTAATACCGTTGTAGAGAACACAATAAAAAGCAAAAATCGGTGTCGGTTGGATATATGAGTACAGAACCTTTTTCTTCAATCGAAAAATAATTCTGATAGTTCTCTCAGCTTCTATAACAAATGAAACGTACATCTGTTCCCGCTTGGTTATCCAATATTGTTTGCAAGGGATTCAACCGAAATTCACATTTCACATAAATCTTTGAGAATCATAACTCTTTTAACGTCGTTTTTCTTTCCAATATAGATGTTTCGAAATCGAAGCGACCTTTCCGCAAGATTCGCTTTTGACAGTACAGATTTACGATTGGGATTTGGTCGGATCAGACGATATGGTCGGAGAAACGAAAATTGATTTAGAGAATCGTTTCTACAGTCGGCACAGGGCAAGCTGCGGCCTGGCAGACACTTACGAGGAGTGAGTATTAAGTAACAGATGGGAGAAGAAATGATGTAATGGGGAATGTTCCACCTGACGAAAATCAAGTAGGTTTCATAAAAGAGCTCTAAAACAACGCATTTTAAGCTTATCATTTCAACCTTTTTCTTTAAAAAATTATTTAAATACTTAAAAAAGAGGAATGAAATAATGCATTCAACATTTAAAGAGATTCCTTTCTATCCCACCATTTGGCAACATCGGTTATAGCTAATAAAGGACAATGAGTCTGTTACCTGTATGAGACAAACAAAGATGACATATTTCAGAGGCGTGCTGTTCTGTTTACTTATGTTCCGAGTTCCGAGACATTCTGTGACATATGACATTTTGTGCACATAACCTATCTTCCTCTATATAAATAAATAACAAAACAACTGTCGTTTATGTGGCTTGTGGAGGTGGTATTAAACTATAATTAATATTTTGCCTTAATTTGACATTATTGACATGATTCTTCTTCTTCTAGCATACTAATAACCTGAACTCCGATCTGGCATTCTAGGCGATGTTGCCAATATGTGAATCAAAAACAAATCCTTTTAAAAATTAAAACCCAACATTTGAAACATCATTTTGAATACTTTCCGAAGTGAATTTGAAAAACTCATGAATTACTGTAATAACCTAAATTGAGGAACATTCCCCATTGAGTAGGTTGAACATCAGTATGTCGACAAAAGACGGATATAGCAATTTCTGTAAACGCCTGAGTGCGATATATACAGTAAAATGGCTCTTTTCATACAGACTTGAAAAAATCACTTCTTATTTCAATATTTTAATGCTACTAACAATCGACAACCTCGCCTTCCCAAAAACTGGCAGGTGAGATTGTTTTTATTTCTTCGAATTAATTGTTTGTTCGGACACTAAAAGGCAAAGATATAATAATAATAATTTTGTTGAGAAATATTTAACTGAATAATGCAAGATTAAAGACCCAATGGTTGACATTTACGCGACCAATAAAAATATAATAATTATAATAATAATGGCTCACTCCGTGTGCTCAGGGCACATGATTCTAGGACCCAATAATCACTAACCCCACGATGTAGAAAGTGGTCGTTGGTTGATAATGCTGGCACACCCCCCTGAACGTATAGGGACTTCAAGGGATAGGACCCTACTAGCGCAACCTTAGGTTAAAACAATGATTTTGATATGTTAGATGATTAGGTATCTGAATGACTATTTGAATGACTATATACCTAAAGTGGGTCGGAGAGACCCACACCCTAAGTCGATACGACCAATCAGCCCTACATCCTTCCTGTTGAAAGGACTTAAGAGGATACTGGACGGACACATCAGGAGCTTAGCATTATATGCATTCCCCACTCAATAACCACCAGAATGCCTATGAAACTGGCAAATCGACGGATTTAGCATTAAACAACCTCGTTGAGGAAATCTCCAATCCCTTGACAACAAGGAGATTGCGGTTGGTGTATTTCTTGATATTGAAGGAGCATTTGACAATGCACTACCTAAATCTATAGGATCATCTCTGGCTAGGAAAGTTATAGAATCGACCATAACTGACTGGATCTATGCCATGCTAGTAAACATAACTGCGACTACGACTATTCAAGGCCAGGCCATTAGATTCAGGGTCACCAGGGGCTGCTTGATGCCTTAGACAGAAGAAAAGTTGATCTGCAATCTTATGCAGATGACCTTGTCATCCTGGCAAGGTCCACGTCGGGAAGGGTAGCTTGTAATATCCTTCAAAGCACGTTGGACGTTGTTCACAGCTGGTGCCTGAGGAAGCAGATGTCTGTCAACCTCAGCGAAACTGTGTTAATCCCCTTCACCAAGAGGAGAAAATTGGGAGATCTAACGCCACTTTCCCTCAATGGTGAGGTCATTCCATTTGGAACGGAGGTGAAATATCTTGGCATTGTCCTTGATAAAAGACTCGCCTGGAACGCTCACTTGGAAAAAGTTTTAAACAAAGCCAGACTGTCTCTATGGACATGTCGAAGGATTTGTGGTAAAATTTGGGTGCAGATAATGGCCGAAGCAAAGATCTCTGGCTCACAGAGACAGGCTTGTCTGGCTATCAGTGGTGCCATCAGTACCACACCCTCAGCGGCCATGGAAATCCTTCTATATCTACCTCCTCTCCACATTTTTCTGGAGAGAGAGCCTAGATAGACTGCTGACAGACTTGTGCACATTGCCAATTGCACAAATCAATTGAATGATGAGTGCAACAGACTGTTGGTTGACACTGGAAGTCACACCATTCTGGAAATGACCTCTGACTTTATGCCTCCAACTGTCAACAAAGAACTGCCTTATAAAGTAGAGTAGAGAGGACTGGATCCTTCGGGAGTAGGAAATATTAGGAGCAGATAGTTGTTGGTTCCCAGATGGGTCAAAAACACCTTCCGGTTCTGGTGCAAGTGTTTTCAGTCGCAGACCCAGGACAGAGATATCTACCTGCCTAGAAACTTATGCGACTGTATTTCAAGCGGAAATTTACGCTAATGAATTGTGTGCGGAGAGATTGGATAAATCCAACCTCACATACAAATCAATAAAAATATTCTCGGATAGTCAAGCGGCGTTGGTAGCTCTTGGCTCCTGCCAAGCAACGTCAAAATTGGTAGCAAATTGCCAAAAACGACTCTCCTCGATAGGAACACTTAACAGATAGTCTCTTATTCTCTGGAATAGTCTCTGGAATTCTTTGAAAAAAATGAGTTACTTACCAACTTTCAGTACGGTTATCGATCTGGAAAATCCACAATTACTGCCCTAGGTGATGTTTGTGATAAAGTATTGGAGTCTTTCGAAACACAAGAATACTGTAACGCGAAGTTCTATGACCTTTCACGTGCCTTCGATACGGTAAATCATAAGATTATGGCTGGAAAACTTGAATACTACGGGATTAGAGGTGGACAACTATTCAAAAAGATAAGTATGTACATCTCACGAAGTCTGATGGATGTAATGTTACTGTTACCCTATGGTGTATCTAATAATTTAATAATTAATAGTGTAATTCTATTTATGTACATGTAAATGTGTATATACCTACATAAGTTATGTGTGTCTGGTGTACATGTATGTGTGTGTTCTTTGAGTTTATCAAATTATTGATTTGACGTATGTAAAAACACTTTGTGTAATGGCATGAATAAATATCTATCTATCTATCTATCTATCTGGTCTGGATTCCTGGCTATACTGACCAGGAAGGCAATGAAGCTGCTGACTCCCTTGCAAAGGAGGATCGAATAGACCCACTCAGTTTAGACCTAACCTAACCTAACTATTTGAATGGACAAAACCCACCATGCACAAGATTGATGTTTTAAGGGATTTCTGGAACTCCACTACCCATTTTAGTTCTGAAATTCGAAAGAAATTCAAATTATGTATTGACTACACTAGACTTAATGAACTAGATATATTCATCACGTTTCATTTATGCATTCTGTCTCATAGGCAAGGCTACAATGCTTGGCGAGATGCCATGAAACCGACCCAAATTCTAGCAAAACTCTGTAAAGATGCAAAACTGGACCCTCCTATATACGCGGATGGATTGGTCAAGGTTGGAAAACAGCTTTTTTCCGTACAGTGTGACGATACGGATATCTACAAGACCAAGGAATCGGACGAGCATATGGCTCTGGCAGTATTACATAGGTAAGAATGAATCACCGATCCAGAATTTTTCGCTTTGCTTGAAATGTGTTCTGACAAAACGTTCATAGACCTCCTCAGTTCACTTTTAGACAACCCCTCTAGGTTGCAGATAGGGTAGCGTATATATCATGGGGAATCCCCTATCATCTTCATGGCTCTAGTCAAACTGGACGTTGTATCTTCTTGTTTGTTCTTTTACACGGTTAGAACGCCTCAGTGAGGTATTTGTCTTCTCCTTTCATCCGGATGTCTCTTTAAATTTGCCTGTACTTGGGTTACATTAGGTAATATCCTTTGTGTTGGTGTTTCTCTAGGTTCATTGTTTCTAGGAATGTGTATTGTATTTTGTAGAATACACTAGAAACAATGAATCTAGAGAAACACCAAGGAGGTACCTGAACGTATTGTAATTCCGTCTTCACCCAAATTAATTATTAGGCCCTCCAACAACTTGACACACACGGTATTCGAGGCCAACTAAACCTATGGATTGAAAATTACATGACAGACAGAACTTTCTCGGTCAAAGTGGGTCACTTTTTTTCTTCGCACAGACAAGTCACAAGTGGAGTTCCCCAGGGATCTGTTCTTGGCCCGCTCCTCTTCCTTGTTTATGCAAGTGATCTTGCTCTTCACATAAAGTCCAGCAAGTCGTTCTATGCCGATGATACTAAACTGTATGGAAATGCCTTAGTCGAACATAATTCCCTTTTTTTTTAACAATGATTCGCGGTTACGTGATTACACTCAAATTAAAAAAGGAGAAATTCGCAACGAGGCAGAGACAATATTTTTTGGTGAATCGTATTTTCGAAACATGGAATAACTTACCCAACGATGTTATGAATTCCGACTCAGTGTACATTTTCAAAAACAAAGTAGACATTTGCTTATTTGCTTAATCGCCTCTATGCATATATTATTTTTCATTTCTTTTTGCATGCATTGTATCAACTTGTTGATATACTTCGTTTTTAGGCTTACGTAGGACTTTGTCCTGAGCCTTTATTTATATGTTATAATAATTATAATAATAATAATAATAACATCAGTAACTCAAACATATTTTTATTCCTCCAGATGGCATGAGTTGCCAAAAGTAGGATGTGCCCTCGTCCCAGAACATGTTGAAAGCAGACCGTTATACAACCCCGATAAACCGGGGATAGAGCAAGGAAAACTGGAGATGTGGGTCGACATGTTTCCCATGGATATGCCTCTCCCTGGTCCTCCTCTGGATATCTCTCCAAGAAAACCGAAAAGTTACGAGCTGAGGATTATCATTTGGAACACAGACGACGTGGTGTTGGAAGACGACGCGTTTTTCACTGGTGAAAAGATGTCCGATATTTACGTGAAGGGGTGAGTTGCATATCTTCCGATGAATGTTGGTTATTGCGGAATATAAAGCACTATACAAGTTGAACATTGAAAACGTGGAATTTTTAAAAGTTGATGTTCAGAAAAAAACGCTCGAACCTCGTCGATATTTTCTTGGGAAAATCTTCTGGGCATGTTTTTACCACACAGCAGTATGCAATTCCGCCCACACAGTAGTATGCAATTCAACACTTAAAGGTTCAAATGAAAGTTCGTTTGAGAAGTTATCGATTACTCTTATCAGCGATTTCTACTTTTTGAATTTGATGCAGAAGACGTTACAAATAATTTCTTGCAAAATCTGCTTTTGTGAAAATTAGAAAAAATTGTTATTCATGGGTTTTTTTAATTACAACACAACAAAAAAATATTTTTTGAATGTTTCCTACACTAAATTAGTCAATTTCTACTAATTTTGGGGTGATAAAAACGAAAATAACAATGAAAAATTTTTATTAGCTCTGGTTTTTGAGATACACAGTACTTAATCTTAAAGAGTAGTTATACTATACGTGAAAAGTGAAAGTACATAAAACAATATTGTTATGTTTCTTTTAGAA